GGGATAGACAGAGGGTGTGAAAAGTATCATCGCAGGATGGAAGCTGTTCCAACTACAGCTGCCTTTTGCAATTGACTGAAGGTGCATTTGTCACCTTCTCTTTTTTCTCTTTTTTAAAGAGAATAAAAATGGAGAAACGTCCTTACAGAATGTGTGGGACACTGCCAAAGCCTACTTTAGAGGATTAGCCATCTCTTATGGATAAACCAGGAGAAACCAGGAGAAAAAGCAAAAAACAAAAGGGGTTGGAAGAAGAATAGAAAAGATTAGAACTAGAATTACAGAGAGAACCACAAAAATCAAATCTTAAAAATCAAAGGGAATTAGTAAAACATAAATTAAATACATTAGAGAAAGAGGAACATTTTGAGGGCTCTTCAGGAAAGCAGCAGAGGGGGGAGGCAACTGAACCTCAGCGGGAATGACGTTCCAGAGGGGGGGGAGCCATCACCAAGGAGGCCCTTTTTCATGTTCCTGCCAGGTGTGCATTTCAATAGATGGGACCCCCCACAACATAGCTTCCCTTCCCATCCTGGTAAGGCGGGCGGATGTCTCCAGTTGGAATGGGTGGAGAAGATTAAGAGAGGTCTGGAGACCCCTTTTCTTCAGCCATGTGATAGTTCTTTGCCTGGGATGGTCTGTGGATTCCTCCATTGGGCAGCGGGATGGAGTAGATGACCTCCAAGGTCCCTAGAATTCAGAAGAGAACCAACCTAGAACTAAGGTGAAATTTCCTGACAGTGAGAACAATGAATCAGTGGAACGGCTTCCCTCCAGAAGTTGTGGCTGCTCCACCACTGGAGGTTTTCAAGAAGAGTCTGGACAGTCCTTTGTCTGAAATGGTACAGGGTCTCCTGTTTGAGCAGGGGGTTGGGCTAGATGACCTCCGAGGTCCCTTCCAACTCTGTTATTCCGATCCTTCTTCCAGAGCGGCGTTGGCACTCACCTGATTTTCCCGCTGTTTTTGGTGAACACCAACTGTACCAAAGAACAAGGCCGAGAGTCTGCAGTACCGTGGTACGAGCTTCGATCCTCAAAAGCAGCTCCGTGCGTGGCTTTGCCCAAGCACGAGCAGAAGGTGAGGTCGCAGCCCACGTCCGTGGGACCCTGTTGCCAAGGTCGCCCATCTGGGTAGCGCTGGCGTTCTTTCACAGTCTGTAAGTCCCCATAGTGCAGTGGTTCTCAACCTTTTTAATGCCGCGACCCCCAGACTAAACCGGTCATAAGTCGAGGACTAAACCGGTCGTAAGTCGAGGACTACCCAACCGGTCGTAAGTTGAGGACTTTCCCTGCCCGGGAGCGCCGCACATCCGTGGTTCCGCCCCCTGCGCCAGCCGAGGCGTAGCTGGCAAGTGGCAGAGACAGAGCAGGCCGACCACCAGCTGGCCCAGCCCAAGGGAGGTAAGGCACCCGCCAGAAAAGGGGGAAAAAAATGGCGGACAAAAAAAATGGCGGACAGCCTTGCTTGGCGACCCCCGTGAAATGGTCGATCGACCCCAAATGGGGTCCCGACCCATAGGTTGAGAACCGCTGCCATAGTGGCTCTCCCATTCCATTACCGGCTGCAGGTAAGGGGGTGTCTCTGCCATGGTTCCCGGACTGAAAACTTCCAGAGGAAACCAAGAAGCTGGACAAGAACAGAAGACCTTGGTTGTAAGCAAACCAGGGCCATCTCTGTCTCTCAAGCGTCAGAAGCATCAACTGAATGCTTTTGTAGAAGTGCTGCCCTAGATGTGGGGGGGCGGAGGGGGGACAGAATATAAAGGAACACCCCTACCTCTGTGCTCAGAGAGCTTAGGGGAAGGTGGGTTGTAAATCCAGTTCGGATAATTTCAATATCGATAGGGCCAGTTCGGTCTGCTGGCGAAGAAACCGGGAGACACTGAGTTCTAGTCCCGCCTTAGACACCGATTGGGTGACTTTGGGCAGGATAACATTGGGCCAATCACCAGGAGACGGTGAGTTCTAGTCCTGCCTTAGGCACGAAAGCCGGCTGGGTGATTTGGGGTGAATCACCAGGAGACGGTGAGTTCTAGTCCTGCCTTAGGCATGTAAGCCATCTGGGTGATTTGGGGTGAATCACCAGGAGACGGCGAGTTCTAGTCCTGCCTTAAGCAGTCAAACCAGCCGGGTAACTTTGAGCCAGTCCCTCTTTCTGAGCCCTACTCACCTCACAGAGTTGTTGTGGGGAAGACAGGAAGGAGGAGGTTTCGCAGAGTGTGAGATTTGGGGGCGTGGGGTGTCTATAAAAGAGCTAATTTGCAACCCAAATTCCCCAAATCCCAATCTCCTTTGAAAGAAATGTCAAAACCCAGTTCTACCTCAAACTGGAGGACAAATTGCGGGGATCCCTTTTGGGGGAAAACTCATTCTTTGTGGCTTGAGTGGATAAGCAAACAGCCGGAGAATTGAAGAGTTTGTCTTCTCCAAATCTGACCTTCCCCGTCTGTGTATTTTCTACTCCAGTTCTCCGCGCCGGGCTGGGTGGGATCTCCAATTCCCTAACTCATTTTCTCCTTCTTCTAACCATTCTCCCAATTTCCCAGAAATGGAAATGCAGTGTTCATATGTTTCTCGATGCTCGGAGTGGACAATCCGCCGTGGTGAGGCAGGACTGCAAGCCGGTGGTGGTTTGGGAAGACTCCACGGACACGGTGGATGTGGACCACTTGATGGATTTTTCAGGCGGCTCTTTCTTTTGATGTCTCCCCCTTTCGTCCATCGTTTCCAGGAAATCGCTTAGACGCAAGGCCTCAAAATTCTTCCCTGGAAAAAGGGATCTAGTGCAGCTCCACTTCAATCAAGAATCCCCGGTAGTTCTCTGTCCCTTTCTCCCCAAATAGTTGTGAAGATTAAATTGCATAAAAGTTGACATGTTGTTTAACGGTGTGGTCAGTTCTTTGTTGTGAAGCTTGGGCTGCCTCGCCTGCTGCCTAGGCTGGTGAAAATCACGGGAAGGGCTTTGCCTTTGAATGCAGGAGCAAAATGTCTACAGGGGGTCCTGGACATACGACCGGTCACTTAGTGACTGCTCAAAGTTATGACAGACCTGAAAAAAAAATTACGACCCATTCCTAAGTTCTAACAGCTGTTTCCTCCCCCCCCCCTGCAGTTATGTGACTGTATTTTGAGCACTAGCCACATTTAATAGAATAAGAGAGTTGGAAGGGGCCTTGGAGATCTTCTAGTCCAACCCTCTGCTCAAGCGGGAGACCTATATCATTTGGGACAAATGGCTGTCCAGTCTCTTCTTAAAAGCCTGCAGTGATGGAGCACCCACAACTTCTGGAGGCAAGCCGTTCCTCTGATTAAGTGTTCTAACTGTCAGGAAGTTTCTCCTTAATTCCAGGTTGCTTCTCTCCTTGTTTCCATCCATTCTTTCTTCTCCTGCCTTCTGGTGCTTTGGAAAATAAGTTGACCCCCCTCTTCTTCGTGGCAGCCCTTCAAATATTGCTATCATGTCACCCCTAGTCCTTCTTTTCTCTAGACTAGCCAAACCCTATTCCTGCAACTGTTCTTCATTCGTTTTAGCCTCCAGTCCCCTAATCATCTTTGTTGCTCTTCTCTGCACTCTTTCCAGAGTCTCAACATCTTTTTTGTATTTTAGTGACCAAAACCGGATGCAGCATTCTAAGTGTGGTCTTACTTAAATATTTAATAAACATTTAAATACTTATGTAAATATTTAAATACTTACGTAAATATTTACATAAAAACATACATTACATAAATACTTATGTACTTCCATAAATACTGCTTTTAAGGCCTTTTGCAGTTCCCTTCAGTGATGTGACTATAATTTATGACATTTTTGCTGAAAACTCTGGTCTTTGCTTCTGCTTTTTGGCAAAAGAACCCCTGATAGCGAACAGCAATGGCTTTGTTTTACGACCACCACATTCCCTTAACGACTGCCACAAAACAGCTTGTAAAATCAGATTGGTCCCAGTGAGTGACCCACTTTACGACTGCCATGTGTCAGCTTAACAACTGCTGCAGAAAAAGGTCATAAAATCAGGTCAATCAGGTGGGTGACCTGCTTTATGACTGTCACCACTTGTGACCCTAATGAGCAGGCTCCATTACGGTTGTAAACCAAGGACTACCAGTATAGTGGGGGAAATTGGTTTAGCATGATGTGTGAACTTTTGATTAATTTATCAGTGTAATGCAGGAAAAAAAATTAATTAGGAAGACTTCTCGGTTACAGATAGTCCTCGACTTATAACCGCAACTGAGCCCAACATTTCCATTGCTAAATAGGACAGTCGTTAAGTGAATCTTGTCCCATTTTTACAACCTTTCTTGCAGCTGTTAAGTGAATCACTGCAATTGCTAAATTAGTAACAGGGTCGTTCAGTGAATCTGGTTTCCCCCTTGACTTTGCTTGTCAGAAGGTCACAAAATGGGGATCATGTGACCCCGGGACACTGGAACCGTCGTAAGTACATGCCAGTTGCCAAGCATCTGAAGTTTGATCACGTGACCCTGGGGATGCTGCAACAGTCATAAGTGTGAGAAACAGTCATAAGTCACTTTTTCAGTGCTGTTGTAACTTTGAACGGTCACTAAGTGAATTCTTGTAAGTCGAGTACTACCTGTAACCCCAGCTAATAAAGTGGCAGGATGTCACTGACTTCGGTTAGTGCTTCTTGGTTCTTGGCTGACACCACGAAGAAATTCCAGAGTAAATTAGCTACAGAGTAAAACACTTCCACAAGGTGGCAATAACAAACCACTCCTAAATTGTTGCCTAAGAAACCCCACAGGTGGGTCCCTGAAGTGAAGCTCCCTTTAAATGAGATTGCACCTGTAATAGGATCCCACAGCAACCTAAGCCTACCTTGCAAGGCTGTTTTGTATTACTAGGCACGAAGCCCGAAAGAATTGCGTCCAATGCTCAGAAAGGGTTTATAAAGGGTGAAGCTTTTATTTCTTCAGAAGACGTAAAGCTGGCTTTTCATAATTGAGGCTTCCCACGAGGGCCACGAGGATGCCGGTCATTCGGCCACGGGTTCAAGAAAGGAGGCAGCGTTTTCCACCGCTTGGATAACCACCGTTAGATGTTTATGGACCTGGTCCCACTTGCCCTGCTCTTTGGCAGCAGCCACGGCGTCGGCCAGGCCTGGGAAGGTAGCCACGGACGACGATTGGGAGGCCCAGATGACGTGGCTGCAGATGCAGAGAGAGAGACCCAGATGCAAATTGCATTGAAAGGCTACAATAAAGTCTTATTACGCAGTTCTTCTGGAGTGCAGGAAGAGGCATCTACCAAATAGGGTCAAAAAAGTCAAGATGGCACCTGCGCCAATTCATTCAAAACTCTGCAGATCCTATCAAAATTAGAGGGAGGGAGGAAAGAAGGAAGGAAGGAAAATAGGAAGCAATTAGGAAAAACAAAATAGGGAGGAATTAGAAAAAGAAAATGAAAAGAAGGAAGGAAGGAGAAAGGAAAGGAAAGGAAAGGAAAGAAAGGAGAAAGGAAAGGAAAGGAAAGGAAAGGAAAGGAAAGGAAAGGAAAGGAAAGGAGGATAAGAAAAAAAACAGCAAGAAGTCAAGAAAGACATATAATTTCAGATTGCAGGAGAACTGGAACAGCTACCATCTTGACTTTTTTGACCTTGCCCGTAGCAATGGGCTATTAATCATTGGAACTGGACAGAATCCAACCTTAGGAATCTCAGCCTGACCAAATGAAAGAAATGGGGGGGGGGGCTTGAGTTACCTGTAATAATATTTGTCTGGGAAAGCTCGTGGATTTAAAAATGTCCGTTCTAGCAACATCAACTGGTCGTTCACCGTCCGCAGAGCAAGAGGACTAGACGGATGACAGGGATGGATGAGAGAGAGAGAGAGAGGTTACACACACATTGCACTAAGCCTAACTGTGGCTTGTTCAAGAAACAACACAGAATATATTAAGCCATTATTCATGGTTTCCAGGGCAGAATAGTGGGGAAAGCCCCTCTAGAGCCAAGCCAAGCAAACTCTGGATGTGTGTGTGTGGGGGGGGCACTCAGCCAATCTATTGATCTGAAGGGTGCTTGGGGGAGGTCATCCACGCTAAGCCATCATCAGTTGCAGTGGTGAGAAAGATGGCTTAGCAAGACTTTGGACCATTTCTTCTTCCACTGTGCTCAAATTCCGACTTCTTTTCCTGACAAGCCACAAAGCAAATCATTATCAGTTTCATCCTCATCTGGCCCAATATGGCAAAAGCCCAGGGCATCTAGGGGTGGGGCACCCCCCCCCCCCAAATTAGCCCTCCACATCAAACTGACAGCTACTTGTCTGGAAGTCAATGGAACTTTTGAACGAATCAGTTCTCGGAAGGGGCGGGATCAGGATCCCCCTTGGTCTCTCCAGCCTAGATATGGGTGGAGCTTCAATGAGGCCCCGCCTACCGGGCCACAAAAAGCAGCTGAGAGTCCGCCCTGGAGACGTGGATGGTTGCACACCTTGTGTGGGGATGATATGCTGCCTCCATGCCTCAATCACCCCACTATAGGTAGTCCTCGACTTACGACAGTTCGTTTAGTGACGGCTCGAAGTTAATGTCCATCACAAGACCCTGGGGATGCTGCAACGGTTGCAAGTGTGAAAAACGGTCATTAAGTCGCTTTTTTCAGTGCCGTTGGAACTTTGAACGGTCACTAAGCGGACTGTTGTAAGTCAAGGACTACTGGTAGTGTATGGATGGGATTAGAAAAATGGGGGGGGGGAAATCACCTGGGGGAGTCTTCATTTTGCAAGCCTGCGATGCGCTGGTTGAGGCCGGCTGCTGCAGACTGGAAGCGCACAACTGCATTGCGGAGTGGGACTGAATGGACGAGAAGCGAAGAAAGGAGGGAAAAAAAGACGAATGCCTTTTAAACTTCCTTGACATATAATAACTTGGATTGTGGGACAACGGATACCACCAGCAATGGCACAACATCTTTTATAGCAGGGGTGTCCAATCTTGGCCACTTTAAGACTTGTGTGGACTTCAACTCCCAGAATTCCCTAGTCAGCCACGCTTAAAGATATGTGGAATTCAATTTCCACTCTGCTATAGTTGTTCATCATAAAGCTGATGCTGGTCTCAAGCCACAGAGAGGAAAGGGAACACCAGAGATCATCTATTTCACACACACCCTACTCAGAGCAAGTCTCACCTGAGCGTCTCTGACAGAGGACCCTCCATTTGTCACTTCATGTGGCAGGTTGTTCCTCTGGCTAAAAGCTGGTATGGCCAAAAAGTCTCTCCTGGTGTCTAGCCTGAACTTTCCTTAGAAGTGAATACTTGTAGCTCAGAGTTGAACTGTGGGGGTCCTGGGTGCTCTCTGAGCTTGGTGGTTTTCTTGCAGACGTTTCATGACCCATCTAGGTAACCTCATCAGTGCCAGACTGGAGGGGGGTTTGCTTTCTGTTTATATACAAGTGTTCGAGAGAGCATTCTTGGTGGTTCCTTGATTAGGCTGTTGTTTATGCTTTGATTGTTTGTCTGAGTTGGTAATTCCTTGATTGCAGCCCACTCTCTTCCAGCACTGATGATATTCCCTAGTTGGGTCATGAAACGTCTGCAAAAAAATCCACGAAACTCAGAGAACACCAAGGACCCCACAGTCCTCTTCCTTCCCCATCCTCCTCCCCTTCTCTTTCTCCTCTTCCTCCTCCTCCCCTTCCTCCTCCTCCTCCTCCTCCTCCTCTTCCTCCTCTCGTTCCTCCTCTCTGCAGATACCTCTGTCTTCTAGCGCTGATGATGTACCCTAGTTGGGTCATGAAACAGCTGCAAGAGATGTTGCAGATGCTTCATGACCCAACAAGCTCAGAGAATACCAAGCAGCCCACAATCCTCCTCCTTCTCTTCTTTCTCCTCCTCCTCCTCCTCCTCCCTGCAAAATCCCATCCCTTCTAGCACTGATGATGTTACCTAGTCAGATAATGAAACGTCTGCAAGCAAACCACCAAGCTCAGAGAACACTAAGGACCCCACAATCCTTCTCCTTCTTCCTCTCCTTCTCTTTCTCCTCCTCCTCTTCATCTTCATCTTCCTCCTCCTCCACAATCAATGAGAATAGAGCTGGAAGGGACCTCGGAGGTCTTCTAGTCAAACCCCCTGCTCAAGCAGGAGACCCTATACCAGTGATGGCGAACCTTTTAGAGACCGAGTGTCCAAACCGCAACCCAAAACCCACTTATTTATCGCAAAGTGCCAGGGCTGCATCAGCATTGTGGTGCCCTCGGGGGGGGGAGGGAGGCGCCTCTGAGTGCCACCTCTGGCACGCAAAACCCGGGGGCGCAAAAATGGGCCACCGTGCTGCAAGGCGCAAAAACGGCCGCCGCCACACTGCGGGGTGCAGATACAAGGCGCTGCATCACGCAAGAACGGGGCAGGGCTAGTGAGTATCATGCAGGGACTAGCCCTGCCCCATCTGCAGTGCACAATGCTTCCCCCTCCCTTTTCTTCCAGTCCAACAATGGTTGGTGAACTCTGCTCTATCACCTCTACTCAAGCTAGCTAGTCGGCCACTTCACCTCCTTTGTGCTGGGTGGGGTTTCTGCTCCAGGCAGTGGTGGCGGCCTGATGGATCTGCCCGCTGGCGGTGGTGCGCATGCCCACAGAGAGGGCTCTGAGTGCCACCTCTGGCACGCGTGCCATAGGTTCGCCACCACTGCCCTATACCAGTGGTTCTCAACCTGTGGGTCGGGACCCCATTTGGGGTCGATCGACCATTTCACGGGGGTCGCCAAGCAAGGCTGTCTGCCATTTTTTTTGTCCGCCATTTTTTTTCCCTTTTCCAGTGGGTGCCTTACCTCCCTTGGGCTGGGCCAGCTGGTGGTCGGCCTGCTCCGTCTCTGCTGCGGCGCTCCCAGGCAGGGAAAGTCCTCGACTTACGACCGGTTGGGTAGTCCTTGACTACAACCAGTTTAGTCCTCGACTTACGACCGGTTTAGTCCTAGACGTACGACCGGTTTAGTCCTCGACTTACGACCGGTTGGGGTCGCGGCATTAAAAAGGTTGAGAACCACTGCCCTATACCATTTCACAGTGCTTTTTTTGTAAAAAAAAAAAAAAAAAAGGTGCCGAAACTCACACACGTCATACAACCGGCCTTGCCTACCCTACAAGGTTCCATCCAAAAAAGGTGCCGGAACTCCGTTCTGGGCGTTCTATGAGAAAAAAAGCCCTTGCCATTTCAGAGAAATGGCTGTCCAATCTCTTCTTAAAAACTTCCAGCAATGAAGCACCCACACCCTCCTGTGCTCCTCCTGCTCCTCCTGCTCCTCCTCCTCCCTGCAAACACTTCTCACTTCTAGCACTGATGATGTTACCTAGTTGGGTCATGAAAGATCTGCAAGGAAACCACCCAGCTCAGAGAGCACGCAGAATTTCATTAAACTTCCCTCCCTGTTGGTTTAGCCTACTAGTCCTCATCCTGCTCGCTGGGGCCACCGAGAGGAAGCCCACCCCCTCTTCCGAGTGACAACCTGGCAGATATTTGAAGGGGTATCTAAAGGCTACATTCACAGCTGTTCAGTTGTGGAGAAAACTGTGAAGCAGTGCGATCGCCTTCCTTGCTGTCTCTCCGTACGACAGCCCTGCAAGGCAGGCCGGTCCTCCCCTCCTCACCAAGAGAGATGTTGTGGTTGAGGAGGTCCACCTGGAACACTCGCTCGGCCGTGTCGTACATGGCTTGCAACGTCTCCCCATAGTTGCTCACGTTGAGGGGCAGGATCAAGGACTCCGCCAAGCGCAGCAGGACGTTGCCAGCCGTTTGCGCCACGGCCCGGTGGCTGGTGAAACCTGCGGGGAGAGGGGAGACTGACTGGGGTGTTTGGGAAGCTCGCAGCAGTAGTATACCCCGGTCGTGTCAAAAAAGGCAAGATGGCGGCCATCGGAGCTCCACCAGCTTTCAGTGGGTGTTGTGACAGTCTTGCTTATAACCCTGAGCTGGGGAAGGTGAGAATGGATCTTCATCCTACAATTTGGGAGCTAACAAACCACCATGTAGGAATTGGGCAGTTTCACTCAAACCTGGAAGTAGTGCTGTGATGTGTGTGGGCAAAATAGCGCATGAATCAACACAACACACCTACAAAAGCGGGTGTTTGTTTCCTCATTCCCCCCCCTCTCACACACACACAGAGCACCAAATATCTATGGGGTCATTTCTGTCTGTAGCCATTAAAGCAGTGTTTCTCCACCTTGGCAGTTGTTAAGCGACTTGCACCCGATTTTGTGGCCTGGTTGTTAAGTGAATTGCTACAGTTGTTAAGTGAATCACACTGTCATTAAGCAAATCCCCCTTCCCCCATTGACTTCGCTGGCTGGAAGCTGCCTAGGAAGGTCGCAAAAGAGGATCGTGTGACCCTCGGACCCCGCGACCATCCTAAATGCATGCCGGTTGCCAAGCGCCTGACAGTCGTAAGTGCGAGGACCAGTCACTTTTGTCAGTGTTGTTGTAACTTCGAACAGTCACTAAAGGTATGGTTGTAAGTCAAGAGCTACCTTTATAAATCTCAAAATGGGACATATTGTAGTTTGCAAAAGGCAGGGATTTGAGAAGCTTCTCTCCGTAATAAACAGAAAAGCTTCCAGCAGAGGATTCGGCAAGAGACAGTTTGATCTAGTGGTTACAGCACTGGCTAGAAACCAGGAGACCGTGAGTTCTAGTCCCGCCTTAGGCATGAAAGCCAGGTTGGTGACTTTGGGCCAATCGCCAGGAGACGGTGAGTTGTTATAGGGACAATAGGAGGAGGAAGGTGTATTGGATCTGTTTGCCGCCTTGGCTGGTCAAAACAATAAAGGGGGGATACAAATAAATGAAATAAAGAAATAAAAACGGTGGCCTTGAGGTCTGCCTGTCCCGCCGCCCACCATTCGTTACCTGGATCGATAAATCGGTCTGCGTAGTCGAAGGTGTCAAAGGCCGTGTGGTAGGCCGGGTAAATGCGTGCTGACGTTTTGCTCTGGACAAAAGAAAAAAGAAAAATGGAAAGAAAAGAAGACCTGTGGTGATGGATTTGCTAGCTTTCCAGAATGTTTTTCCAACTTTCAGCTGTGATTTCCAGGTGGTGCCCCATCTACCTGCTTTTCTTGAGCTCAGCCCGTGAGTGCTAAGAGATGCTCCCTTTTTAAGACTTTAAGCAGGCCTTAAAGGAAATGTTGGCTATCATGCAGAATACAGAATACAGGTAGTCCTCGACTTTACAACAGTTTGTTTAGTGACCGTTCAAAGTTTACAAGGGCACTGAAAAAAGTGACTTGCTACCGTTTTTCACAGTTACGACCTTCGCAGCATCCCCAGGGTCACGTGATCAAAATTCAAATGCTTGGCAACTGGTTCATATTTATGACGATCGTAGTGTCCTGGTGACCTTCTGACAAGCAAAGTCAACGGGGAAGCCAGATTCACTTAACAACCGGGTTGCAAACTTATCAACTGCAGTGGATTCACTTAACAACAGTGGCAAGAAAAAATCGTAAAATGGGGCAAAAGTCACTGAGAGGTGTCTCACTTAAAAACATAAAATTTGGGTTCAATTGTGGTCATAAGGCGAGGACTACCTATACCAGAGTTGGGAAGGACTTTGGAGGTCTTCTAGTCCAACCCCCAGTTAAGGTTGTCCAATCTCAGCAACTTTAAATTGTGTGGACTTCAACTCCCAGAATTCCCCAGCCAGCATTTTGGCTGGGGAATTCTGGGAGTTGAAGTCCAAACATCTTAAATTTTCCAAGATTGGACCCTCTGCCTTATACCATTCCAGACAAATGGCTGTCCAGTCTCTTCTTGAAAACCTCCAGCAATGGAGCACCCACAACTTCTAGAGGCAAGGAGTTCCACTGATTAATTGGAAAAGTTTTCTTCAGAGTCCCAACAACCTGGAGATTTCCATATGGTGTCCTATGCATCCCCTTATCCAGCCTAAGCCCGCTTCATTTGCCACCTGTGAAGTGCCAACTTCACCCTGATCCCTCAATCCCAGATTAGCTCAAATAAGCAGAAAATTGGGCATTTGTGTCCCGAAAACGCAACTCTGAAGCCTACCAAATACATAAAGTTGCCTTCTCTCATTATCTGGAACTCATTTATTTTTGGCTGTCAGATGCTAATAATAATAACAACAACAACAACAACCAATAATAATAATAGAGTTGGAAAGGACCTTGGAGGTCTTCTAATCCGACGCCCTGCCCTTGCAAAATCTTAGCACAAGACGCAGAATAGGGTACTCCCTCTTGAAGTGGCTGGCCCAGGATCCTAATATAGAATAGGGTTATGATTAGGATTAGGATATAGAATAGAATAGAATAGAATAGAATAGAATAGAATAGAATAGAATAGAATAGAATAGAATAGAATAGAATAGAATAGAATAGAATAGAATAGAATAGAATATGGGATGGGATGGGATGGGATGGGATACACCACAATATAAATGGTCACCACGATGTAAAAAAGATGCTGAGACTCTAGAAAGAGTGCAGAGAAGAGCAACAAAGATGATTAGGGGACTGGAGGCTAAAGCATATAAGGAACGGTTGCTGGAATTGGGTATGTCTAGTTTAACGAAGAGAAGGACGAGGGGGAACTTGATAGCAGTGTTCCAATATCTCAGGGGCTGCCCCAAAGAAGAGGGAGTCAAGCTATTTTCCAAGGTGCCTGAAGGCAGGACGAGAAGCAACAGATGGAAACTAATCAAGGAGAGAAGCAACCTAGAACTAAGGAGAAACTTCCTGACAGTGAGAACAATTAACCAGTGGAACCACCTGCCTCCAGAAGCAGTGAATGCTCCAACACAGGAAGTTTTAAAGAAGAGACTGGACAGCCATTTGTCCGAAATGGTATAGGGTTTGCTGCCTGAGCAGGGAGTTGGACTAGATGACCTCCAAGGTCCCTTCCAACTTTACTATTATTATTATTATTAGACTAGACTAGACTAGACTAGATTAGACTAGACTAGACTAGACTAGACTAGACTAGACTAGACTAGAATAGAATAGAATAGAATAGAATAGAATAGAATAGAAGTTGGAAGGGACCTTGGAGGTCTTCTAGTCCAGCCCGCTGTTCAGGCAGGAAACCCTATACCAAATTTAACATCTTTAAAAAAAATAATTATTGAAATTATGATATATAAAACACAAATGCAAATAAAAGGGAAAAAAGCAGAGGGAAAGGAAAGGGGAAGGAAAATAAAAAAACCCCGACTTCCACAATTTTTTAGCACAGTAAAGCACAAGATAGAATTACAGGTAATCCTTGACTTACAACCACAATTGAGCCCAACATTTCTGTTCCTAAGCAGGGCAGTTATTAAGTGAGTTATTAAGCGAGCCAGATTCGCTTAACGACCAAATGATTCACTTAACAACTGTGGCAAGAAAGGTTGTAAAATGGGGCAAAATTCACTTAACAATTGTTTTGCTTAGTCATGGAAACTGTGGTCATAAGTCAAGGACTATGTGCACCATATTTTTCCTAATTTCCAATTTTTATTGTCCAGGTGCTCGAATGTGGGAGACATGTGAAATATGTGTGTGTGTGTGTGTGTGTGTGTGTGTGTGTGTGTGTGAATTCCACCGCCTGTTTCTTATTTAACCAAAGCAAACTAATTACAGTTCAGCTCAGCTCTTGTTCTCTCTGGCCTCTTCCATTTCTGGCCTCAGCCCCCCCAATTCCTGGTGTGCAAGAGATTCCTCCCCCCCCCCCCAGTGTGGCCCAGAGACTCACCCGATCGTAGGTGTAAGCGATATCCATCGCGGTGATGCCCAGAAAGTGGATAAAAGGAGCAAAATCGCTTCCGGCCCCCAGGGACCCTAAGCTGCAAAGGGCAAACAAAAACCCAGCTGAGTCTGCACAGAACATTTCAAGAACTGAAATGGGTTCATTTTAACCTTGGTTTGCTTGATTGTGCGAACCCAAATGTTTTGGTTTGTTTATGGGGCAACGTGTTGAAGAAGGGGACTCTCTCCCTTCGTACTGAGATCAAGTCCTGGGGGTTTTATGGGCACCCACTAGACTTTTCTGGCTTGGGTTTTGGGGTTTCTTGGTGGTCTCCTTTCCAAGGTGCTCACCAGGCTGGATCATGTTCAGTTCTTGTCTACCTAGAAAATAAAGTTACTTCATGGCTTTGTGCCAATGCAGAGTGTGTGGCCTTAGAAAGCTAGTGGTTGTGTTCGGACAAAATGAAAACGTTGATTCATTTTGTTATCTGTACATTTGCGTCTTTGGGTGCATGTGTGTGTGTGTGTGTGTGAGAGAGAGAGAGAGAGAGACTATGAAGTCTTGTTAGAAATTCTGTAGATAGCCCTACAGAACAAACAGTGCACGTCCACACGTGCCTTTCTGCTTAACTGTGACAAGGAAGCAGGAAACCTGTTTGGGCAGGGGGTTGGACTAGATGACCTACAAGGTCCCTTCCAACGCTGTTTTCTATTCTATTCTATTCTATTCTAAACTTTACTCAGAGAAAAGACATAGAATATATACCATAGATGCAACTACAAATTTATAAACACTGCCGTCTATTGTCTCTACTGAATACTGCTGTAGTTGATGCACAAAACACATGAACAATATATTCCAACAGTTCTAGTTGTGACTTAGGGATGAGGTTTCTCTCTCTCTCTCTCCCTCTCCCTCTCTCCCCCTCTCTCCCCCTCTCTCCCTCTCTATCCATCCCTCTCTCTCTCCCTCTCCCCCTCTCTCCCTCTCCCCCTCTCCTCTCTTTCCCTTACTCTCTCCCCTCTCCCTCTTCCTCTCCCTCCCTCCCTCCCTCTCTCTTCCTCTCCCTCCCGCTCTGTCCTTCTCTCCCTCCCTCTGTCTCTCCCCCTCTCTCTCCTTGTCCCTCTCCCTCTCTCTCCCTCTCTTTCCCTCCCCCTCTCCCCTCTCCCTCTCCCCTCTCTCCCTCTCTCCCTTCCTCTCTCTCTTCCCCTCCCTCTCCCCTCTCTCCTTCTCTTTCCATCCCTCTCTCTCCCTCTCTCCCTCCTTCTCTCTCTCCCCCTCTCCTCTCTCCCTCTCTCTCCCTCTTCCCCCTCTCCCTCTCCCCCCTCTCCCCCCTGTCCTCTCTCTTTCCATTCCTCTCTCCCTCCCTCTCTCTCTTCCTCTCCCTCTCTCCCTCTCTCTCCCCCTCTCCCTCCCTCTCTCCTTCTCTCCCTCCCTCTGTCTCTCCCCCTCTCTCCTTGTCCCTCTCCCCCTCTCTCCCTCTCTTTCCCCCCCTCTCCCCTCTCCCTCTCTTTCTCTCCCTCTCTCCCTCCCTCTCTGTCTTCCTCTCCCTCTCTCTGTCCCCCTCTCCCTTCTCTCCCTCCCCTCTCCCTCTCTCCCTCCCTCTCTGTGTCTTTCTCTCTTTCTCTCTCTGCCCAACCAACCTTGCAGGGTTGTTGTCACTGGGTGGGATAAAAATCTAATCAATAAAATGGGTACATTTTGTGTAGTATCTATGAACTCCAATCCCTAAGAATTCAATTCAGAAAGTTGTGTGATGTCGACCACACACAAGGATATTTGTGGGCACTCTCTGGTTCTGGGCAGGCTGGCATGAGGACCGCATTTGTGCAGCCCCAAGATCAAAAGCAACAAACTATGGCTTAAGCAGCCAGGATGGATAAATATAGCCAAACTGGTTTTGTGAAGTTAACCGGCAGCTGCTTAAGATCTGAAGGTGCTGTCAATAAATTCACAACAGTTCAATCTGGATTACATGTAGTTCTCAATTTACAACCATTATTGAATCTGATAATTACGGTCATAAATCATGATAGTCGTAAAGTGGGCCATGTGCAGTCATGTGACCGAAGGATGCTGCAAACAACCATAAATATGGGCTGGTTTTCGAGTGCCAAAAATGTAGTCACATGACTAGACGGGGGGGGACACATCGGAAGTTCAGAACTTTTGGGGGAGGGGGTCTGTCATAACTTGAAACAGCCACTAAGTGACCCGTCATAAGTGGAGGACTACCTGAAATTAGTCCTGGCTAATGTATGGGCGGGTACAAGGGTACAAGGTACATACACACACACACACACACACTCACACCCCCCCTTTTACCTGGGGATTATTCCGTAGACCGAGCTATTTCTGTTGAAGTGGCGTTTCCAGTTTTCATAGACTGACACCGAAGCATCTGCTGGGGTCTTGACCTAAACAAAAAAGGAACTCTTAAAAGAGGGTGCAAAATTGGCATATTTTTAAATATGATGGTGCTCTCCAACTAGTGAGAAGAAATCCATTTGGGTGGGGAGGAAAAGAAATCTGATTTTCAAATTCCTGCACACAGGAATGAGTGTTTCTCATTCTTGGCAGTTTCAAGACGGGTGGACTTCGACTCCCAGAATTCCCGGCCAGAATGCTTTAAGAGGAGTGGACTTCAACTCCCAGAATTCCCCATGCTAGCATGCTTTAAGATATATGGACTTGTTCTGGATCATGTAACCCTGACTAGAGCATGTAGATCTATATGTTAGAATGTTTGGCATTTATTGGGTTAAGTGCTGTCTCCTTAAGAGATGGCTTATGGGTAATGTAGTTTTAGCTAGTCAGCTAACCCATGTTAACAGGTCAGTAGTAGGAGGATCGGAGGAGCCTCTAAGGGCCAGTTTGAAATGTCTTTGTCTGAGATAAGCATGGGATCAACGGAGGACACAGACGTGGTCCTTATTCACGCTAGAAGTTTGATGTGGAGAAATTAATGATTTTACCTAATAAAGATGGACAAATGTACAATATTCAGAAGAAACTACCAAGAAACCGTGAGTTCAGCAGTATTCCTGGATTAAAGTATATGTTTTACAATCATCTTTGTTTGAGTTTAG